TGTGTGTGTGTGTGTGTGTGTGTGTGTGTGTGTGTGTGTGTGTGTGTGTGTGTGTGTGTGTGTGTGTGTGTGTGTGTGTGTGTGTGTGTGTGTGTGTGTGTGTGTGTGTGTGTGTGTGTGTGTGTGTGTGTGTGTGTGTGTGTGTGTGTGTGTGTGTGTGTGTGTGTGTGTGTGTGTGTGTGTGTGTGTGTGTGTGTGTGTGTGTGTGTGTGTGTGTGTGTGTGTGTGTGTGTGTGTGTGTGTGTGTGTGTGTGTGTGTGTGTGTGTGTGTGTGTGTGTGTGTGTGTGTGTGTGTGTGTGTGTGTGTGTGTGTGTGTGTGTGTGTGTGTGTGTGTGTGTGTGTGTGTGTGTGTGTGTGTGTGTGTGTGTGTGTGTGTGTGTGTGTGTGTGTGTGTGTGTGTGTGTGTGTGTGTGTGTGTGTGTGTGTGTGTGTGTGTGTGTGTGTGTGTGTGTGTGTGTGTGTGTGTGTGTGTGTGTGTGTGTGTGTGTGTGTGTGTGTGTGTGTGTGTGTGTGTGTGTGTGTGTGTGTGTGTGTGTGTGTGTGTGTGTGTGTGTGTGTGTGTGTAATAATAATAATAACTATTCATTGAAAGTCCAATCCCACTGAAAATATAATATAAAATGACTGATCACACACACTGAGGAACAAAAGCCTCCATTAGAGAAAGGTAAAGGAAACACACAGTGAACATTCAGATTAATGGGACAAACACACATGGGTAACCTCTCCCAGATGGTGTTAGGAGGACCATGATGTGGGTAGTACCCTCAGATGGTGTTGAGGGCCCTCACGCGGTGTAGTAGTTCTACAAGCACGAGGGGCCTAACGGGTGTAGCAACCCCTCACAGATGGTGTCATGAGGCCCTCACGCTAGTAATTCTCACAGATGAAAGCATGAGGGCTCACGGTGAGTAATTCACCCACAGATGGGTTAACAGGCCTCACAGGTAGTAAACCCCTCACAGACAAAGCAAGAGGCATCACGCAAAATAATTCCCCACAGATGGAGCATGAGGGACCTGACGTGTAGTAATCCCTACAGAATGTCAAGAGGCCTGACGTGGTGTAGTAATCAGATGTGTTAAGAGGCATCACGGGTGTAGTAACTACAGATGGTAAGAGGACCCCACGCAGCAACCCCACAGATGGTGCATGAGGACCCGACGGGTAGCAATTTCACAGATGGTGTTATGAGGACGGACGTGTGTAGTAACTCCTCACAAAGGAAGAGGCATCACGCAGTGTAATACCCCACAGATGGTGTTATGAGGACGGACGGGTGAGTAATTCCCTCACAGATGGTAAAGTATATATGAGTGTCCCAGGCCTCCCAATCGAGGACCAGATTAACACACCGCCAAGTCGTTGGCCCCACGGCCATTATCACTCATACCTGGGACCTCACTGTGTGAAGGTTAACTGAATACCACTCTTTACTGTTGAGCTGTTCACCGACTCAACACTGCACACCAAATGTTCACCCTACTTAACATTGGTTCCATTCTCCAAAATGACAAACATGCAAAAACCTGCTGATAACTCGTTGGGGAGAAGTGACTAGTGAGGCTGGGTAAACCCAACAACAGCTGACCTGGCTGCCCCAGAGGAGCTCCAGGCACGCCTTGACCCCGGTGGTCAAGTATGTATGTATGTATATATATATACATATATCATATATATATACATATATATATATATATATATATATATATATATATATATATATATATACAATTCTCAGATCTCACCTCAACGCATCACGTGACTTACCACTGCACTCACACCTCAGATATAGATAAAAAAAAAATGACACGCATTTCCATACCAAACGTTTCCAAAGTTAATGGCCTCCTGTATAATTGTTATATTCCAGTATTCAAGCTGACTACATTAAAGCGCTAAGTGCCTAGTCACACTGTATCCATTCCTTTATTATTTATTATTACTTTCACTGAATTGCATCCATTCATCATTATTCACATTTTTACTGTATATTTCCACTTGCAGATTTAAATCTATTCACTATTTTTTTTTTTTTTGTCCATGTCGGACTTATGACCTGGATTTGGTCCCAACCCCGTCGTAAGTCGGGGTTCAGGTGTATATATATATATATATATATATATATATATATATATATATATATATATATATATATATATATATTTATTTCAAGTAAATGGAAAAATTTTACTCGACACAGACATTAGTTCCAGTTACCGGTAAATAGCAGACGCTTCAGTGACGTCACTAGTGTTTACACTACACCAGCGGGTAACATTTGATGACATTACTTGAAGTGAATTGGCCTTATTTTAAAAAACCAAGGATGGTTGGTAAAGGACAACTGAGTCAGTGGGTAAGTGTCACATTTGGGGTACTGGTCTTATACAGCGAATAGAGCTCAAAACCTACTTTTTAAATGGAAATTTGGGGGGGCCGTCTTATGCACCCCGACGCCTTATAGGCCGAGATATACGGTATGTATCCCATAACCCAGTGGATTGGGCAACTCCTGCACACTGCAGCCAATGAGAACTGATAAGAGGTCAGAAGCATGAACTCCATGCAACCACACAACTCTCAAACTTTACTGCTTCCTTGGGATGAGGGGTGCACGTGATGCAGGATGGTGGTATAAACTCACAGCCTTAAGGAAATCAACTAAGGCAAAGTGGTCAAAAAATATTTAAAATAACAACAAAATTAAAAACAAATTCTCAGAACTTTGTGTGCCCTTCCAGTAGCCACTCCCACAATATCAAACTTATTTATGAATATTTGGCTATTAACTGGACAGTTAAATGCCCCACCCTCACGTGCATGCTCAAGGTCATTCTGATGCATATCAACAACCTCTAGTAAAATATTCATAGAAAGTAAACTAGAAAAGATAACCATTTCTGTTTTTGCTGGCCCTATCTGGCATCTTTCTGGTATGCTACTGAGTGTGGAGGGAGGAAGGAGGTGCTGGACTACCATTCAAATAAATGAAGTCAGTACGCTCTCGACCATCGAAGTGGTCAGATTCATAGCTCGCTGTAGCCCTCACCCCAGCGCACTTACCCAAAAAAGTTTTTTATGGTATTTTCAATTTTTTTTTCACTATTTATGGGCCAATTTAAAATAAAAAAGGACTAATTTGAAAGGGCAAAGAAATATGTTGGTCATACTTTTTCATTATTAAGAAAAAATAAAAAATTATTAGGAGAGGTTGAACATACAGTAGTATAAAACCAAAAATATAAATCATTAATAATTACCTAAATATAAAATATATATATATAAATACGTAATTCCAACAATTCATTAGTTATGTTATTAACTATCACAATTAATTTGAAAGAAAATCCTTCATGGGATGACAGAAAATTTCAAAATTAAATTTCTTGAGATGTTGATTTAAAAAAAAAAAAATACTGACCAAAATGCTTGAAACTTGGATTTAATCAATACTGAATAGATATACATAACATATATAAAAATCATGAAAATCGGATGATAAATAAAATTGTCCAAGTCAGTATCCTTAACACAGCTGGTTCATCAGTGCTACCTCTGTAATAAACAGAAGCAGCAGTTGAACTGGGAAAAATCCTCTTGCTAATTTTCTTGATAAACTGGATTGCTTGAGCGTGGTTCACTAGCACAAATGGAAGGTTTCTGAGAACCCTGAGGTTAAACTCACAATGTTATCAAAGTAGTATTCGAGTTCTCTGATCTAGTGTATCTTTTATAAAAAATAATTGAAAATCTTCAAATTTCAATTAGAGTTGTTTCTGTACAGATATAAACACAAATCTAGGAAAATTTTAAACTAAGCATTACTGTATTTTGCACCATACCTTTGTGGTCATTCAAAACTAAATGACCCAAATTTTAGGGACAACTAAAAATAGCAGCACTCAATAATTTAATGAATTATTATGGGCCAATGGCAACATCAAGCACTATAAAGAGATACTTACCACACTCCAACTTTCACATTATCTTCTGTCTTTAAATAGAAGTTCCGTGTTCCAGGCAAGTCTTCTCTCTCAGGTGTGTTGTAGTCTACTCTCTTGGGAAGATTTACTGTCAAGGAATACCAAATAATTTAGAACAAAGGAAGTTGATATAATAATAATTTTTAAAAATCTCCAAAGTTAGTTGAATACACTATACAGTACTGTACTTCTGAATCTAAAATTTATTCAAATCAAAACCTAGAGAGAAAATTGCTCCCACATTATAGAATATAAATTCCACACCATTAGTTACAGAGAACATTCATACAAAAACTGTCGACACAGACAACAAGAATGCTATATGCTGCACTGTAAACTCTTTGTTATTAATGTACAGTAGAATGCTGATTTAAAATGATTCAATTTAAAATAATTGATTTAAAGCAACACCCACAATTAAGAACAATGTATTAATTTAAAGCGAATCTTTCCTATTATACATGGGTCAATCTGGTGCACCATATGGAAATACACACTATTTAAAATTTTGCGCCTAATGTTTCCCACCAGACGCATCTCTGGGCACACTGCAAGGCTGCCCACCACCCTCCCACACCCTCACGCATCCTCAGTTCTCGCAGTGACGCTCTAGTAAATGGACATATTGTATGACAATCTCCTTCTACCACGTGCATCAACCATCGCCACTATGTCCAAGAAACCAGCCACTACATCATTAACTACACCAAAGACCATGAAATCCAGGTAAGCAATTACACTGGAGCAGAAAATCAAGGTGCTGGAAGCACTGCAGTGAGGAAATTGTGCTTCATGTGTGGGGCGCCGATTTGGACAGTGATATGGATAATGAGCTGGTCGAGTTGGGCTTTGGATCTGCAGAGGATGAAATGCTTAAGTAAAGTTGAGTGAAAATCTATTTTTGATAGCATAAAGTAATTAAAAACTAAGTTGAGAGGAAAGTGAAAGTGCTTGGCGAGTCAGATGAGAGGCAGGTGGTGCGTGGCATCAGCATGACCACCCTCTCACATCAGCTGATCGCTAGTAAACAGACCATTTCACATCCCTTAATTTTAGCTGTGTTGATTTATGAGTGTTTGTTTTAGCATAATACTACAAAAAACAATGTTTTGTTTATTCTAGGAGATGGGCTGAGGTGCATCTGGGTAGACTCTCAGTCTTTTTAGTATTTTGTGTTTCTCTCAAGTACCAAACTAAATTATTCCATTGAAACAACACTTCGATTTAGTGCGAATTCGGTTTAAAGCGACCTCTCTTGGAGCGTATCTCGTGTTATATCGACATTCTACTGCAGTACAGTAATACCTTTGTGAAAAATGCTGCATTAAGTGATCAGTTTAACAACCAACAAGGTATTTAAAGGGAAAAGGGCAGCTATGTTCCAGCCACACTGAAAATCACCAACCTCTCCAACAAAATATATAACAAAACCCATCCTGAGCAACTTAATAATACAGTGATGGCAAAGAATACACAGTAGACTTCGTCACATTAATATCTTTGTAATAATGTGTGTACTGTACATACTGTATATTAGCTTACTAGCCATTTGGGTGTTATCCAGCATGACCCTACCAAACATTGCAGGTTTCCTAGCCTCCGGTTTTCTCCTGTACTAAAACTGGATAGACCAACCACCTAAACACCTAGTAGGCTGGTAAGTGGTGAAAATTATATATGTAATAATAATATTTCATGTTATAGTTTAACATTACAGTATACATACAGTAGGTTTACACTGTAGGAGCAGGGAAAATTGGTGACATTGGCATTTGGTACACTCGCAACAAAAGGTATCGGTGCATACTGTAGTGTGAACAATTTGAGACCAGTGACGATAGGTATTGGGAAAGGCGAGTTGTTCCAGCCTTATGTTGGCAGCCCTGGTCAAGTGAAACAAACCGTTATAAATAAGGTCGGGAAGTGATAAATAGACAGTATGAAATATGAGGAGCTCCCTGTTAACAAAATTATTTGTGATACTTGTGAATATTGCCACATTAATTTATGCTATCAAATAAACCACTCAACCTGGTCCTCCTGAGGGGTGGTGCAGCGTGGACGGCCGCTCCAAGACCTGTCGTCTGTAGCACCAGTTTCCAGGTATCGCCAAATCCATCGTGCAGCGGTGTTCCTGTGGACACCAACCCGCCGGCTAATTTGTGATGCCGAACCCTTCGTTATGAAGGGCAATAATAGCGCCTCGTGTTCCCTCTGAGGTTTCCATGTCGTCTGGCATGTGTAGATCTCTACTGCTTCATATTGCCTCTGTTTTATACCCACGTTCACCGAGACCGAACCCTCGCTCATCATTCAGTCGACACAAAGCAACAATCCGAAAAGAGGAAACAAACACACTGATTGTCAGCCATATGGCAACACCTAGTGGGGAGAGGGGGGGGGGGGTTATGAGGATACACTTACCAACCTTCCCTACATATCACAGTGTATACGTATCGTTTCGGAAGTCGTCGATCACACCCTGCACCGATACTTTTTGGTGCGAGTGTACCTTTCCACAATACTGTAATAGTCACAGCTGCTGTAGACCACTCCATTCACATTTAACCTAGCTAGGAGACCAGCAATGGGAAGATAATGTACATTATGCTCCATGTCTGACAAATTTTACTATTTATATCTGTATTATATTCTATAGGCAATACAATTCTCAGTTCCATTAATATACTTCTATAATGTATGTACAGTACAAGGCTGTAATGTACAGTATATCCTTACTTAAGAGAACTCCCTGCTTCACTATAGCAAAGCAAACCAGCAAGAATGCTACATCTGCCATCTCTTAGAGGAATGCTTCCCCCCCTCACTCAGCCAGCTAACTCATGTGCAAAGAAATGTATATTTTCTGTGTGTGTTTGCCCTTATGACAATTATTTCTTTTACTTTTTTCACAATATGTATGTTACATAGTGTGTCCAAGTAACCGAGTAAAAATAAATAAAGTCACATATATCTACCCGAAAATACGAGTTGAAAAACAGCCATAACACCTTACAGTTTGGCCCAGTAGCCTGGTGGTTGAGTGACAAGTCTAACTTGGGTTCTAATGCTTCCAGCAATGTTAACAAAACGAAAATGTGAAAAGAAAGTTACTATATCTGTATATCTTCATTTGTATCAGGTACTGTATTTGTAGATTTAAAAAGATTTGTTGCATGTACAATACGCCCGTATAATTCGCGGATTTTTATTTAGCGGTCCTCTATTATTAACAGATGACACCCTGGATGTACCCAAGAATGTCTAAGGGTAGTTTTAAAGTTGCTGTCATTTTCACAGCCAGGACAGGGAGCCATTCGTTCTAGAGACAGTAATTTCCTTTACCTGTATATATGTATATGTGTGTGTATATATGTGTGTGTGTGATGTAATTAATAAAGCACGGAGTGGACTTGAGGGTAGACTCAACATTTTTAACAAATATTTTTTCTGATTACTTGTGAGAGGATTTTCCCCATTATTATTTATTTGTATGTGTTTTGTGTGTGTGTGTGTCTACACACATGCACACATACAGTGTACACAATACAGGTAAAAGAAATAAATGTCCTAAGTACTGTAACCTCGTCTGGTCCCCAAGAAATGCTAGGGACTGTCAGTTGGTTGAAAATGTTCAAAGGAGGGCCACCAGACTGGTGCCTGCACTTCGGCACCTCAACTACCCTGAGAGATTGGAGCACCTGAACTTGACTAGCTTATACTGACAATATATAATGCAGTGCAGTGTTGATTTAAAGAAAAAATCTTGAATTACACCAAGTGAACTATAATTATATGGGTGAAATGGCGACATGGGGTGACTTCTCTTCCACCCCAATGCCTTCTCTTCTCCCTTCTCCTCCACCCCCATTCCAATTCCCATCATCATCAACCAGGAGCCTTCTACATGCACCCCTCAAAGTAAGTGTACTTTACTGCATTTATTTTTAGTTTGTATGTAATTTTCGGTGAGCTGGAACCAATTACCCAAAAACCCATTGAAACAATGGTTTCGGTTAACGAATTTTTCGGTTGACAAGCAACCTTCTGGAACTAATTGTGCTCGTTAACCGAGGGACCACTGTATGTACTTACCAAAGTTGAGGAAGACTATATGTCGCTGGAGAACAGGAGAATAGTGAAATACTAGTGGAATCATGAAGTACATCACAAACAAAGTCAAGAGGGCACCTACAACCACAGTCTCGAAAGCTCTGCAAAACAGATTAAAAGAATGTGTTAATATAGTACATACTTAAGTCGGTAGAAACAAATCATCTGCACAAGCCACTACAGCGCTACTCAATAAACATACTGTACTCCTCAGTACTGTACATAAAGCAGACACCTTTTATGAGTTTATTGGAGCATTTGGTTTAGTGAGAATATACAATCAGACCCCATCTAATGCACCCACATAAAAGGGGATATCAATTTCAAGTACAAAACCTAAAAAAAAATAAAGACAAAACTCCAATAATCCAAGAAATTTATGTAATCTTAAAAAAAAGTGTTGTTAGATTTTACGCCACTATAATTTGTAACGCTAGACGAAATGTTTTGAAATGACACCAGTGTATCATAAAATAATAATCATTAATGGTTTATTGAAAGAGCATGGCAGCCGGAAGGCTGAAAATATACAGTTACATAATTTGGAATGGGTCTCTTGATTTACAAAATAATATACAAGTAACATAAGTGATACAAATATGATTTATAATAACTAGGTGGAGATAAGCTCAAACTACAGGGCATTTCAACATAGTGACAGTGCAAAAAGTAAGATTAACTGGGAGTGAATACACTGGTTGATTACATGTTATTGAAAATTTTTACAATGGTTGGGACTGGGCTGTTTTCATAGCAATCAGTTCGTGCTCGTATGGGCTGGATGCAGTTGTGGTGTCGAACAGCAATTCTCAGGCGAGGGATCTCAGGTGGTAGTAGGAGTCGGGTCGAGGATGGTGCAGAAGCTTCTCACCAAATTTGCAGATGAGGTCGTGGTGATGGTCAGTGAGAGACAAGAGGGCCAGTGTGTTCAGCGCTTCTTGATATGTGGAGTAGGAAGGGGAGAGAATAATCTTGCATACCCTCTTTTGCACTTTTTCTACGTGTTTACGTAGTGTGGCATTTAGGGAGGAAGACCAGGTTGGGGAGGCATAGGTGAGCTTGGGAAGTATGAATGCTGAGTAAACACCGAGGAGCTCGGGTGCAAGAACTCTAAGGGACTTGAGTCGGCAGAGGAGGAAACTGGAGGATTTGACAACTTCACTGACGTGTGGTTTCCAATTTAGTTTGTTGTCTATGGTGACGCTGAGGAGCTTAGTGGAATCTACAACCTGGAGTGTGTTGGGACCTAAAGTAATGGAAGGGGGTGTGACAACGTCGGAGGAGAGGTTAATGTGCATAACCATGGTCTTGGTATGGTTGATGGTGACGTGGTTGTTGGTGGCCCAGTTTTGGAGAATGTTCAATAAATCCTGGAGGGTGGTATAGTCGGGAGCAGAATTGTTGACGCTGATCCCAATGGTGGAGTCGTCGACATATTTCCAGCGAGCAGGGGTTTCTCTTAGGGCATCATTGATAAGCATAAGGAAGCATAGTGGTCCCATCTTGGTGCCTTGGGGGACGCCACAGGTGAGTGAGTGAAAGGTGGAGACAGCCCCTCGGAAGCATACAGCTTGGAGTCGGTTACTGATGAAGTCTGTAAGCCATGGTATAAGACTTCTTCGAAACCCGAGGTCGATAGCTTTGTTGATTAAATTGTGGTCGACTAGGTCGAATGCCTTAGTGAAATCAATGAAGGAGACAGCTACAGACGTTTTTCGTTTCTCCAGATGGCGGTATATGTAGTCGAGAAAGCTGACAAGACAGCTGTGTGTATAAATATATATACAGTCATGCGCTGGTTAACGTCCGACCGAACAACGTCCGATCGCATATATGTCCGTGCCAACCCCCCCAAAAGTTTTCAGTGAAACTAATGGCAGAGGCATTTACTACAATTAATAAAGGAATGCAAATGTTTGATGGCATGGATCAAAATTATGAGCGTTATGCCAAAGTTGACAGAATGATCCAAGATGCACTTGCTTGCTACAGAGAAATTTATAATCAAAAGAAAAAACAAACTGTGCAGCCTAAATTGGACATCTATTTTAAGAAGTCCCCCAGTGCTGTCACCTCATGCCCCACCAGTGCTGCCTCTTCACTCCCTCAAGGTGATCCAATACCTTCAACCAGCAAGTTTCCACAGCACATAAACCTGTCTGAAGAAAGCAACATTGATGACCCACCCAGCCCTGTCTCCTCCTCTGCTTTATCCAATTAATCTTTTTC